TGTTTTTTTAAAAAAATCTTTGTTTGTGAATTTATCTCTCTCGGATGTAAAACATTCAATTTTGGTGAAGACAAAATTGGTCATTACTGATAAGAAGCCAAGTATTCTCCTTATGCATTCTAGTGAACAGGATCAAGAGAAGAGGCCCCCTAAAATGAGGAAACTCCATTGGACCCATTAGCATATTTTGATGATATTGAAGAACCAAGAAGGTCTAGTAAGATCCAAGATGAAGAGGGAGCTTGAAGACGAGCCACGGAAAATGACCAAGCCTAAAGGAAGCTACCGAAATTCCATGGCCTCCTAACCGTGCCCCAAGACTGGCCATTTACCTCAAAGCACGCCTCACGCATACGTCAACGAGCAGCCTCGCGCATGGCTCCTAGTGCACGCACACATGCGCACGCGCCCTGCCTTACCGTGTGCCCTACCTCTACCGTGCCCCTACCCTACCGCGCACCCATGCCATGCCGCTAGCGTCATCGCCCTCGTGTGCCCCTACTACCCTGTCGCGCGCCTACATACGTGCTCACACCTGCCTGCCTCCTGCCGCACCCCTAGCGCATGCCCTCGCTTACTCAATGCCATGCTCACGCCCGCCTAGTGCCACATACGGCCCGTCAGCCCTTGCCTGTGCGTGCACCATGCCTGCCGCAACCCTTTTGCTTGCCTCCCACCCTTAAACACTTGAAGGAATGTTTTTTATTGGTTTGAAGATTTTACCTTAGATTATTTGTTTTGGATTTAATCTTGTATTTTCTTTAAGAGATTTATTTCCTTGAACTTTTTAGCTTTTTACGCCAGAAATATCTTTTCAAAATTAGGAAGAATCTTTTGCATATTTAATTTTCCCTAGATTTTAGGTTTATTTTAATTGCAAAGTTCTTGTAAAGGTTAAGACCCTCGACCTATAAATAAGTTTTGAGTAATAGAATTTCGAATAGAGAGGTCTCTTTTCACCCTTGCCTTTGTGCAAACTTGGGTATTTGACGGCAAAGGTAATCCTTCTAACTCTTCTCTTTCAAGTTGAACCATCTATACCATTGGATTCAAGTGGCTAGAGGATTTTTAGTCCATACGTTTGGTTTGTCACGTATTAAAAAGTGTGAAATTAACAAAAAAAAAATTACTATTTTTATACTCCAAGTGGTCTCTAAACACCATAATCAAGCAGCAACCATAGCAAATGCAAGGCGAGAGAGATGATGACGGGATCAGAATCACAACAAGAGCGACGGTAGAATCATAGCAGGAGCAGCGGTGGAATCATGGCGAGAGATGATAAAGAGGGTTTTTGTTTGTTACAGTGGGACACATGTGGGGCAAATGGGTATGATTTAAAAACCGTAGAGCAGGTCGTTTGCGAGACAACCTAAACGAGGTGTCATGCAGCGGCTGTAAGAGACAACATATTTGCATATTAAAAAAAGAAAAAAAAAGATATTTGCAGCATGTCGTCTCTTGCTATTTAAAAAAAATAAAAATAAAAATAAAAACTAAGATGTGGCGCCTTCATTTAAGAGATGACCTACAATTGAGTTGGACTACGCATATCTTTCAACAGACAACCTAGTGGTATACCACTTTTTTTAGCATTATTTTATAAATAAGTTTGCTCTTAAGAATATTTTGAACAGACGTTTAAAAATTCATAATCGTCCAATTACAAGGCTGCAGGAACTTGTGGAATTCATTTAATCAAGGTATATTGAAGCCATGTTTGGGAGTAATTTTGGTATGGCTATAATCACTTTTACTCATTGATAACTCTCTAAAAAAGAGTTACTTGTGCAAGAACTTCATAGAAATTAGCTAAGGATAGCCACACTAACACCCATTCTACACTGATTTTGTGCAAATAATGCTTTACATTCATTAACATCTTTACCTTATTAGACAATGCTGAGAGTTATGAAAAATGACATAATTTTGAATGTTTTGTTGCAGCATTGTTGATGCCGTAACATCGGAATAAAAAATGCAGAAAAAAAAAGCTGACAGTGACAGGTTTTTACTCGAAAATTTACTACAATAAAATGCAGTTTCACCATTAAATTGGGTTGGGCCCCATTTTATCCATTTTGGTTGCCCTAAAATTGAGGAGTATAAATGTTTTCATTTCAAGGTTGCCTCCATTCATTCTCATCCTTGAAGAAAAAAAAAAACCTAGAGAGAACAAGACAAGAGAAGAAGGAAGACACTTGCCTACCTGCAAAAGCCGAATAGATCTGATTTTAAGGCTCCCCATTCAAATCAGCATCCTCCATCCTCCAAATCTGGTTGAAATTCCACAACTCCGTATGGGCTCGAAGCTGGTGCTCACGCAGAGCTTCTAGAACAGTCTCTACGTGTTTCAGATACTCCTCTCCCATGTCTTGCTATAACCCGTACCAACGTGTGCTTTTTTTTATTCTCCTATTTTTTACTATAGTCACATCCTCATAAATAGTTCTATGATCTCGGCTAATTTCAGTCTTTCAGTAGTGAAACACGATTTCAGTATTCAATTTATCCCCTTCGTTCTGGAGTTCAGGATTTATTTTATATGGTCTCTTTTCCTTAAGGAACCCGAAGAAAACAACAAAGGGAGTAAAGGGCTGCTGTTTTCCCCCTTTTCTTCTTCTTTTGTACTCTTTAGTACACGGGTTTTGTATTTTCTTTTTCCCTTTTCTTGTATGACATTCCGTAACTAAGTTTATTTGTAAGGGGGAAGATGTCGTGAACTTGTTCTTGAGCTATAAACTTTGCTTTGACTTGACGATGATATATATATACTAAGTTGAAGTTGTTCTTAACGTTTTATTTCCAATGTGCTTGGCCAACATATTGGAATATCTTCTTATTAACTCTTGAAAAATTGTAATAGGAAGTGTTTGGCTTCAACTCGTGCTATATTCTACTTTAGTTAGTGTGGGTACTAAGGAATAAGGCCCACCTAGCAAGGTTATAAATTGAGTATATATGCGGTCAAGTTTGTCTAAAAATATGAATAGCAAAAAATCTCGGAAATCTAGGAAGATTTCGTGTCTATTTGGCCAGTATATTACATCGTCGATGCTGTAGTATTGTTTGCTTATGTCCAGAAAAAGTCACATAAACTCTTCTCTTTACCCTTTTAAACATTAGTATTTAATCTCTTATTTGCGCACTTTCCTTTCATCAGTTTGGTTCTACTTGGTTCTTGTTTTTACTTAGCAAATCATCTGTGCACTATTTTGTTGGAGTTCATTTAGTTTTTTTTGTTCAAAATATATTTTGTTGATTTGTTTATTTTCTTAACTAATTGTCGAAGTATTTAGTTATCAATCTATGTGGAGACGATCTTTTTATCACTTTCTATAACGGTTGTGTACACTTGCACAAAGGATTCTAAACCATAAAAACACTTATTTCAAAATCACTTACATTTCAAAATAGAATGTTTGGCAAGAATTCATAAGTCATTTTGGAAAAATTCATAATCACTCTCGATCAATCACTTTTAAGGTGATTCTCCGATTGATTTTTGACGAAAAAATTAATAGAAAATTTTTTAAATAGTTATTGTTTTAATTTTAAAAATTGTCTTTCTATTCACCTTATTTACACCTTAAATTTCAAGACATTTTTTTCTCCTTTCTAAAATTTTTGCCACTCTCTAACTTTATTTGTCTTTAATTTTGTTTATTCTCATTTTTTCCCCTAAAATTTTTGTCTCTAACTCTCTAAAATTTTTGTTTCTCCCTTACAAATTTTAGTCAAATTCTCTCTTTAAATTTTAAATATTAATCATTCAAAATTATTTTTTCATAAAAAATTTATTTTTAATTACATAAAAATCACTAAATAATATATAAAAATCACTTTCACAAAATCAATAATCATTCCATCTTTTTGGTTAAAATCACTAAAAAAATCTTTCGGACAAAATTAATTCTAATACACTCAGAGGACTATAAAATATTCTTTATCCAGTAAAACTAGTTATGTTAATCAACATAGTTTTTTTTTTTTTTTTTGAGTACGTTAATCAACATAGTTTGAACATGCATTTTTTCAGTGCATTGAATAGGTGTTACTTAGAGGTGCAAGTGGGAAAGTGGAATTCAGATTTTGGCTGAAACCAAACCCAACATACTGTCCCCAAAAACCAACCAAAGTATCTAAAATGACTACCAAGCTAACCAAAACCGAACCGATAAAACCGACAAAATCTAACCAAATTGAACTGACCAACTATTTTCCTACTTCGGGTTGCACCCATTCGTGTTACCAATCTAGAAGGTTGAAGGAATGCGACCGTTGCAACCGTTGATTCACTCATAATTTGTGGAAATACAATTGATTCGCTCTATTGGAAGAAGCGACACTGATCGTTTTTCTTGTTTTCTGAGCTGTTTTATGCATGGGTTTGAACTTGAGCAGACTAAAGTACCAAAGGAAATAGATAATAGAAACAAGCAAAGCTAACCACATTAGCAACTTGGACAAACTCATTCTGAATTTTATTCCTGTCTTCCATGCTTAATGCTTCATAATCTATTTTCTTGTATTTAGGCATCAAGTATGCTATTCATCGAAGCTAGTGTATAACACAGTCAGCTTTATGTGATTTTTTATTTATTATTATTTTCGAATATTATTACGCATAGAGATGAAGATTCAAACCTCTAAATTATGAGATAAGTTACTAATTATTGACCAACCCTTTAGATATCTCGAGCTAGAACGACAACTATCGTGGAATCTACAATCACACATGAGTATCTCACCTTCCAAAAAAAAATCGATCAAGGACTTTAGAGACAGCAATCAAATTTCGAAAAAAATAGGAATATAGGGCCCTAAAAACCACTTCGAGGACCTTCGTTCAAATCAAGGCAAAAAGCTCATTTACTCCCACTTTTCTGCATATTTGGTCTTTGCCTGTGAGTGCATGCCCCTTGGAGTTTTTGACCCACCTATACCATATAGAAGTGACTTGAGAAATTGATTATAGAATACAATATTTAGAAGGTAGCTACTCACTTTCTGGACAATCTTTATTGCAATCAACCATTTTTTTGACAATATATCCAACATACACATTCATTGAAATTTGAACGTATCATCCCATATTCTCGACTATACTTTAATGTTAGAGGGGAGAGATGAGGAATGGAAATAACTTACCAAGTAGATTCAAGAAGATTTCATTTCTAAACATGAACAAAAATGTGGGGACTTTAACTATATGATAGAATCAGAACACTGCTTATTTGAATTTGAATATAAAAAATACTGAGAATGGGAAAATCAATTCCAAGTCAAATTGTGATCTCTGATAAGTTCTTCGATAGTCCACGTTCGTTTAACCACTAGAAAAACTGGGAAGATCGAGATTAAGAAATTCAGCATTCTTGCTAAAATATGCGACTATAGCAATTAGCAAGACGAATATGATGATCCACAAGCTCATTCCTGCACGCAAATCAATTATGGTTTAGTGATATCCTCTAACATCTACGTAAATTTTTACTACAAAGTAACTAGCCATTGTGCAACATGAATAAATAAATATCGATTTTAAGTTAAAATAAAAGAATAAGGGAAGGATCCACCAAAATCAGAAGCAATTGGATAAACGCTATCCAATATGAAAATAAATGAGAGATTAACCCGCTCTCTTTATTACTTTATCTTGTGTGACCTATGCTTTTACTTTATTAGCCAAAAGCCTAAAACTGCAAAAGTGAATGTCAAAATCAGGGTTCATAGTGTCTTCACTAAATGCAGGGTACCTCAAGGTGCCCGTAGGAGGGGCTAACGACCCCAAATAGAGAAGGCGAGACGGTTCCACAAAGATGCACTAGAGGATCTAGCCATTTTTATTCCTCTTCTCAATCTCTCTTCTTTTTTCCTCTTTTTATTTTTCCTTTTGTCCTTTTCAGTTCAATGAGAGACCCTTAGTGGAAACAAGACATTCTTTTATAATATATTCAAGTAAAATTGTCTCATGTCTAGGCTGCATCAAGAACATCATGGCTTTCACCATTAACCATGACCAGCCAATCAACATAAAATCCTTCAACCAAAAGCCCAGAGTAAAATCATGCTGTTCCTAAACATAAGCCTGCTACTAATGATTGGTGCAGTGGGGTTAGATATCATTCTTTATCTTGTTCCTAAAGGTCAAGTACCATGAGGTGACAATTGACAAATGATGGTAACAAATTGATGATATATGTTTGAATTATCAAACAAGAAAAGCAAGGATACAAGTACCTTTTTTCTCCTCCTCCTCAATTACAGTCACCCTAGCACTCGAGTCCATTGATGCAGAAGCCAAAGCCCTGGATTAAAAAAAATGACATCTTTGATAATCGATATAATAATGGTGGTATCTTATCGTGTTAATTGGATACGTTAGATTGAAACCTTGAATCGTGAGAAAAGCTCAATGCAGTAACAAAACCAAGGTGTGCCTTTTTAACAATCTTTTGAACTCGCATGCTGGTTGAATTTATGATCAGAACATCTCCTTGAGTTGTACCACTATACCAATAATTAAGCAGAAACTCAGTCAAATATATAAAAAAGTTGAGAACTTTAAGACATAATAGTAATGCATATTCAAGAGTAGCCTAGCCACCAAGGTAACAGAAAGAATGTATCACTTTTTTATTGGGGATAGAATAATTACAACTGAAACATTAGCTTTAAAGGAGTATCAGAACCATTTTTTTAGTTTCACCTTAATCTTGTTCAAATAACCTTTTGGACTTCCATATGGGATAAACTGTTAAAGATAATTAACCTAAGAGGAAATAATTGAGTCAGGTTGAGCACTAACCTAAATGAAAGCCTAATAGATAAAAGGAACACAAATAAGCGAGGCTCATGAAACTGGAATTCAGTTCTAAGCTATAAGTATATTATTGTACATAATAACATTACCAAAAAAAAAAAAAAAAAAAAAGCATCACTCCTATCTAGCCAAACTTCCCAAAGCATCTTTATGCATAAAGATAAACTTTTAAGGGCTTTAACGAGTTCCTCTAGCTACAACCCAGTTTCAATTGACAAGGATTCTCATCCATAAGACATGAAAATTTAAGAGCTCCAGTGATTTCCTCCCAGGTGACCAAATTCATTTTTCAACTATATATTTGTAAGGGGAATTGGCTGGAAAATAGTCTCGCCATATTTACAAATATAGCACAAATAATAAGATATTTCAAATATGGCAATTTTGTAGGGGGTGCTATCACTTAAAGACGTCTATCATATATGACTATCATTGGTAGAGCAGTAGATATTTGGCTTATTCTCTCGACAATTGAGTTAGGTGAAGTAACCAATGTCACATTGCAACCTATAAATGGCCCAAGTAAATCATGGGCAACACGACATATAAGCCTACAAGGTAAGAATACCTAGGAGAAAGTCGTTATTTCACCTCCCATTTTAATAGTATTTGAAGTTTCTAAACATGGGCATCATAATAGAAAGCACGATTACAATGTCCAAGTATCACAATAGCAGATCACTTTCAAGAGGAAAAAGTCCACTTTTTAGTACCAGGCAAGGAGCTTTCCATTAGCTGAAACATTGAATGCAGTAATATTATCACGAGTTATGAGCTTTGAGGCTACTCTCCTCCATGTGGTTGTATTCCAGGTTATAATGCTTCCACCTCTGCCTATACAATACATCCTCAACAAGATTAGATCAATAGTAGAATTATAGGGCAAACTCAATTCAAAGGAATCTCTTTACCAGTCACTGCAGCGATATATAAAACCATATTACTGTCGTTGGTCAAAGAAAATCTGCATGAGATAAAAACCTCATCCTGCAAACCACACCAAGTAACTAAATCATAATAACGATAAATACGAATTATAAATATTGTCATGGTGGTTGACGGCATGAGATCACATCTGGATGGAATGGTGGTGGTAAAAAAACCAGTGAGCGAAGAGCATAGAAAGCTTAAAGAAGAAATTTCTTCATGTAACTTGGAAGAAAGTGGTGGGGCATGCTTCTCTCTCTCATAGATTATTGGGCTACAGCTAGATACCACGATGATTAAAATTAATAAATAAACAAATTGTGTCACTTCTACCATGCATTGTCACTATGAACTATGAAGAGTCTTGGTCTTGGTCTTGGTCCCAAGAAAAGGTACTCTAAATCAAGCAGGTTTATTTTTACAAAATAAGAGAATGCATCGGAAGCATGAGTACAGAAGTCTCCAAAAGCACCCAGCGCAATCATACAACAATAAATCCCCACAAAGACCAAAATAATCCCACCCCACCCCAAACATATGACCTATAAGAAAGAATCATATACTAAGTCAATGTTAGTGGTCAATGACACACGCATGGGTTGAAATATCTAAGGGCATACCTTAAAGAGCTTCTTCAAATATAGATGCAAGTGCCTATAATACGACATTAAAATCACTATGTCTTCAAATAACAAAACAACTATTTGCTCACATTTTCTTTTGTAAGAGCAGTTAGAACTGTTGATGAAGTCACATCCCACACTCTACAAGGGCCACCTAATGAGACCAGATATTTACCATCAGGACTGCAAAAATATAAAGACACCCATCACCATAACTTCATCAAACAAAAGAAGTTTACATAAAAAAAAAAAACATACAAGTATTGCATATTATCTAACATATGCAGGAGCTATTGAGAAGTTAGAACATTGCAGACCTGAAATCCAAGTCCTTTACAGTAGAATGAGCATTGGGCTCATTGAGAATAATTTCCAAGCTACGCCACTTGAAGACCCTTAAATTACCGTCCTGTACTGCATTAAAATCAGAGAATTATAATGCAAGCTACTTCTAGATAATAATCAAACATCCAATAGCACTTTAATATATGCAAAAAATAATAATAATAATAATAATAATAATAATAAGCAAAACAACAAAATGACAGAACACAGTTGAAGCTTAAAAATTTTTAAAAAATAATAAAAAATAAATGAAAAGAAACTATCACTAATGAAGAAAGTATATAAATAGATGCAAGAAGTCGTCAAAAGACCCAACGGGACTACAAGAACACATTCCAGTTGACATAAATAACATTATGATTGGGTATTACAATGAAGAACTGCAAAAAGAGAGCTCCAGTGGAGCTGAAAAACAGCCCTATCCCAAAAAGTGCCATCAGAAACTTTGATTTCCTGAAAGATTTTCATTTCCATCTGACCCCAACTTCCGTCTTCACTGCATTACTCCATAAAATCTTCCCTGTTTTTAGCAATGTTCCACAAAAATGCTGCTCTAAAGCATCATCATGGATATCCCTTGGAAAGCACCAGTGAATTTTGACACTTTGGAGTAAAATCATGCCACCATTTAGGAGTAGTTTCATAGTAGATGAAGATGGTCAACAGTCTCAGCTACTATTTTGTGTAAGAGCCACCTGTTGGGTGATAGATATTAGGGCTCATCCTCTGTCCGTTGTGATTGGTGTCGGTTCCCTCCACCAGTCTGACAAAGGAAGAATTTAATCTTCTTGGGATTTTGCCACCCCAAATTTCTTTGCATAGCTTAGTAGGGAAGTACGCTACTGCTACCTTTAATTAGATTTTCTTCAGCTGATCTGTGGAGAAAATCCCTGATTTTCCAGCTTCCAACTTCTATCATCTTCGTCATTATTTAGTCGAACTCTTTCAAGGATGCTATTTTGGTGAACCCAATCCTCAATTTCAGCTTCCATGAGATTTCTTTTAAATTTCAATTTCCAGCTCAGACTTGGTTGGTCCCGCACCTCCTAGATTTCTATGCGTGTAGTTGGAATTGGGGGTCTTGCTACAAGGAATTCGGCCATCTTGGTGAAATGGGGTTGGTACTTTGTGACTGAGAAGAACGCCATTTTGAGGACTTTTAAAAGCCAGCAAATATCAGCTTTCCAACCAAGAATGGGTTCCTTCCCCAAATGTTATTTTAATTTTAGTTGTCTATTCTACTTTTTGTTTCTATTAGCTTTCCACATTCAGTGAATCACTATAAATCTTTTAGCTGTCTGTCTATTCTACTTTTGATTTATTTCTATCAAAATAAGGTCAATCCTTCCAATAATACAGAAAGGTCTGGCTTT